TATGAGAAAAAAAAGTCAGAATTGCGAGTTTGTATCACGCAATTATGAGAAAAAAAGTAGCAATTACCTTTTTTATTTTTTATTCAGTGGCGAAAATGGGCTTCCATAGAAAGTGGACGTTTTTACAATTATAATAAAACACCTTTTACTTGCTAAAAAGTATGAGCTATCAAACAGACGACAGAAGGCATGCAGTAAATTGTGTACAACAGGTTTTTCTGTAAAGTTTTGATCATGTTGATCATTTGGAAGCCTTAGAAATGTATCAAATACGATACAGTAGGCTTTACAGAGTTAAATCTGTTCTGTAGAGTTATAAAATGCACTCATCTGACAATGAAAATGTGATTGCATCACATTCCATAAGCAATATAAAATAGTTTTTTACTAAAAGTTTCTGGCTTTGCCAATATGTGAGCAGGATCGATCGTAGAAACAATGTTTAGATGTATTATTACTTTGATTATCCGTTCATTTCCAGTTCATGGCCCAGTGTAAGTGCCTGCATGTAGGTAAAACGGTTAGACTTCTTGACTTTAACCGTATTCTTGACTATTCAGTGTTTTAAGTGTTTTGTTACATGTTGGTACACCTCAATAAATGGTAAATAAAGAATTTTCTACTATACTCGTGTACAATTTCATTATTAGACTTTAAATTGGTGTAACTTTTTTTCGTGAGACACTCTGAGGACTGAGGAGATCAGTGATAAGTTTCGCTCTTAAATCTAAAAACAAGAATTAAGTTTTACATGAAATGCTTATTTTAGCAAGTGTGTTCAATTTTAATAGCTTAATAGCTATCCTCCTTTTTAAGTTTAACGTATTTGTAAATTGAATGTGCGAGACGTCCGTGTCATCCGCTTACTTTTAATTTTATCTGTACAAAAACAGCCCGTATACTGCAGACTGGTATTTCGTATCATATTATTTTAATTTATTATTGTATTCCTAAACGCACTGGTTTGTAGCGCAACAATTTTTTTTTTTTACCGTTTATCACACTTTTTAATCTAGTTACTTAGATATCTGAGCCCATTGCGTATTTCTGAGGAAGTGGTATCACAGAAACAGGAAGTCAACCGGCTGTTCAAATGACAATGGAGACAGCGGCTTACAATAAAGGTAAAATATATGAAAAACAAGGCGTTTTAAAAAAAATAAAGCATAAAGACATGTTACATGTCATGACACGCAATTCTGACTTTATAACTCAAAATTCTGACTTTATAACTAGCAATTTTGACTTTATAACTCACAATTTTGACTTTATAACTCACAATTTGAGATATTGTGAGATATAAACTCACAATTGCGAGAAAAAACTCATAATTCTGACTTTATATCTCGCAATTTTGACTATAACTCGCAATTGCGTGTCATAAAGTCAGAATTGCAAGATATGAACTCGCAGTTCCGAGAAAAAAAAGTCAGAATTGTGAGATAAAAAGTCGCAATTACCTTGTTTTATTTTTTATTCAGTGGCGGAAATGGGCTTCCATAGTAAAGTGTTACTATTAAAACAATAAAAGAACTTGGATGAAGAAAAGTCTTTATGAAAGTTACAATTATGCACAGTGTATTAAGAAAGCAGGCAAATAAGGTCAGTGTTGATTTCATGTTCATGTTTAAGTGAATGCCTTCTGCTTTGCATGTTCATCTGCTCAGCAGCACAACTTTCAGACTTGTTACCAGACATATTGTTTTTATACATCAGTTGGCTGTTTTACATCAAATTTTTTGATTCAGTGTTCTAGTTGTCTTTGCTTTCAGGTGATCAATGCATTTTGCCCTTTTTGAGTGTACTGTGTTTTGCTGCTGTTTCATTCTATGATGGACAAATATCTAATGTTGCTCTTAATTGAAGTGTCATGCAGCTGATGTTATTGCTGCATTTCCTCCAGATTGCAAGCCATTACTTTTTAATGCACTTTAAGGTTTGTTTTTGGTAGCAGTTTGCAACCTACGTATTTTTGAAAAACACCTTATTGCCTTCTTGGGAAGCCTTTAACTTTGTCTGCTGTCTTTTCCACATGTCAGTCGGGTTGTTTGTTCCTCAACATCTCTTCTCACATTCATTTATCACAGTGGAGGACCTGGAGAGGAACGACGGCAGCCCAGAACGACCCTATCTGATGTCTGACAATCTTCTCAATGTTTTGAGGAAGAAGAACCAGGCCAACTAGTCCTCACTGATGGTCGGTCAGAGTTATATATGTGCCTCCGCAGTGCTTGAGATAGAGGTGCCTGAAGTCATTTTCATTGCCGTATTTATCATGCCTTAGAGAACCAGAAAATCATGTTAATCATGAAATGCATCAAAGTGATTGACCTCAGTATCTCAGCCATATGTTACGATTTAAAATGTGTAAGCTTTTCTTTAGATTGAGGTCAAATTACAGAGGTTTTAGGTTTATTATTTAAATGTCCAAAAGGCTTTTGCAATAACTGCCGAATGTTTTAATTAATATTTTAAAGAATAACCGAAGCGTCTTGGCCTAGATATTTTGTTTTGATTTTCATTTTGATGCTTTGCTTTTCCCCCCTAGTCTTTATATTTATGGTTTTTATATAAAAACACAGTGCAGTGTTGTCCATTGTGCTGTAGGACAGGATTGTAGAAAAACGTTTTCTTTGCCAATATGTGAGCAGGATCGATCGTAGAAACAATGTTTAGATGTATTATTACTTTGATTATCCGTTCATTTCCAGTTCATGGCCCAGTGTAAGTGCCTGCATGTAGGTAAAACGGTTAGACTTCTTGACTTTAACCGTATTCTTGACTATTCAGTGTTTTAAGTGTTTTGTTACATGTTGGTACACCTCAATAAATGGTAAATAAAGAATTTTCTACTATACTCGTGTACAATTTCATTATTAGACTTTAAATTGGTGTAACTTTTTTTCGTGAGACACTCCGAGGACTGAGGAGATCAGTGATAAGTTTCGCTCTTAAATATAAAAACAAGAATTAAGTTTTACATGAAATGCTTATTTTAGCAAGTGTGTTCAATTTTAATAGCTTAATAGCTATCCTCCTTTTTAAGTTTAACGTATTTGTAAATTGAATGTGCGAGACGTCCGTGTCATCCGCTTACTTTTAATTTTATCTGTACAAAAACAGCCCGTATACTGCAGACTGGTATTTCGTATCATATTATTTTAATTTATTATTGTATTCCTAAACGCACTGGTTTGTAGCGCAACAATTTTTTTTTTTTACCGTTTATCACACTTTTTAATCTAGTTACTTAGATAAAACTTTCAGATTTTCAGTCACCCACAAGGTGGCGTTGTTGACCAAATATACAGAATTCAATCTATTTTTTTGCAGGCGCTCCAAACTAGCGCAGATCTGTGGCTATAAAAATTTTTATTTTATTCCTAAACGCCCTGGTTTGTAGCGAAACAATTTTTTTTTTTTTTACCGTTTATCACACTTTTTAATCTAGTTACTTAGATAAAACTTTCAGATTTTCAGTCACCCACAAGGTGGCGATGTTGACCAAATATACAGAATTCAATCTATTTTTTTGCAGGCGCTCCAAACTAGCGCAGATCTGTGGCTATAAGCCAGTTGCCTTTTAACTCACTTTAAAGAAATTATGTGTTAAAGATGAGTTTTCTCTTGATATGAGTATTTCTCATGGAGAAATATTTTACTTGAGCCTTTTTCATAGGGCTAAATAATGTAAAATCATTTCATGATTACTTCATAATATACTACAGTTTCTCTACATGTCTTGTTTTCCAATTTCAAGACATGTGTGACCCTGGAGCACAAAACCAGTCTTAAGTCGCTGGGGTATATTTGTAGCAATAGCCAAAAATACATTGTATGGGTCAAAATGATTGATTTTTTTTAATGCCAAAAATCATTAGGATATGAAGTAAAGGTCATGTTCCATGAAGATATTTTGTAAATTTCCTACCGTAAATAAATAAAAACTTCATTTTTGATTAGTAATATGAATTACTAAGGACTTTATTTGGAATTTCGAAAAATTTACCCTTATGACTGGTTTTGTGGTCCAGGGTCACATTTTGCCATATAACCGACTACTATACATTGTCTACAAATACTACAAATATACAGTAGTTTAAATGTACGGTGACATACAAACACGGTCTTTAAAGGATTAGTTCACCTAAGCTGTTTGGACTCATTCTGACGGCACCCATTTACTGCAGATGATCCATTGCTGAGCAAGTGATTTAATGCTAAATTTCTCCAAATCTGTTCTGATGAAGAAACAAACTCATCTACATCTGGGATGGTCTGAGGATGAGTACATTTTTCAGCAAGTTTTTCATGTTTGGGTGAACTATTAATACCTTTAAGTTTAGCACATAAATTAAACTTAATCTCTGGCGGTATTGTTTAAACTTTTCCTTTTTTTTCTCACTTGTTATTGTTTAAACTTGCTTCATATGCTGATTCTAAAGGCATCTTCGTTTACTTTGCCAATTTCAATTCATGTCAACAACAATATTAACTCTATGGAGAAATTTCAATATAGGGTGAGCTGAGCTAAATTGACTCAAATTCACTATGTTTTAATCATCTGTAAGATCTCTTGAACTCTTATGGAATTGTTATTGTCATAGCTTGTCTGTCTAACCAGAAAATTAAAATATTCTCCAAAATTCTACCATTCTGAAAACAGTAGAATATTAGAAAAGTACTAAAACACAAAATCACAATCCAATAGGGAAGTTTTGTTTCCCATAATTTAAATGTTGAAAGATGCCTTGAACTCTTATGGGGGTGATTGTAATGATTATGTCTTGCCTATCTAACAAGGAAATAAAAAAGTGTTTTCTGATATTCTAGAATATTAGGAAAGCACTAAAATACAAAATCTCATTCCCATAGGGAAGTTCTGCTGTGCTACAGATAACCATGGTGTTAAAACAAACCGTCTTGGGTAACACTGTTTTCAAAGTGCCAGAACTCCCTCAACAATACAGAAGCACAGCTCCCAGTGACGTGTGAATGCTTCTCCATGATACCCACATCTCCAGGGGCTGATGTCTTCCTATTACAGCCAAACCCTGTTTTATAGAGCTCATACACTTTCAGAGTTCAATCCACAGCTCAGATTTCAAGTTATTGTTTATTAACACAGAATATAGGCGTTATGTGTGCTTGGCAAAAATGACATCATATTAGGATAGGTTTTGTGGCCTCAGCTTGTCCTATCACTTTCACGGTAGAGCCATGTCCTCTATGTCCTAGACTGTTTGTTTCATCTCACTTCAGTTTGCTTCTGAGATAAAACATAATTTGAGATTGGAAAATTCCACCTGCCCTCATAGTAGCTAATGAAGCACACATGCCTCTACCAGTGTGTAAAATATTATTTGGCAAGTAGCGGCTAGATCAGATGATTGGCAGTGACGACAGTAAGCTCGTCACACCAGTCCCACGGGACCCACACTGAGCTCTTGGCCTCCGTTGTGCACCAGCCAGAAAAGCCCTTCCCTCAGGCGCTTCATCTCAAGCCCTGAAGTTTATGAGGATATAGAAGTAATATTTAAAATATAAGATTTGCTGTCAGAGCCTTCATAATATGATTGGTACACAGAAAATCAAAGTGTATTTTGAAATATACATTTTATTGAAATTGTATACATATATATAAATTACAATTTTATATAAAATCCATTGAACCAATATAGCATATATAGCAACTACTGATGCATTTCATACATTTCATGAAAATACATCAATAGCTGCTGTCAATGCCATAATATTAGTTCAATATTATATATATGTATATATATATATATATATATATTAATGTCAATGCCATAATTCTCTAAAATTATGGCATTGACAGCAACTGCATTATTTATTAATTTTAAAAAATGAAAATAGATTTTGTGTTGAAACATTATCATTATCTATATACATCTTGATATATTAGATATATAACTAGCCTACCCTATATATAGGCAATGTTAATATTGGGGGGGAAATGGCTCAAGTAGTGGTATCATATTTATTTATTTATTTGTTTATAAAAGTAACCTTTTCATGAATGCACGTTTCTTTCAGGTCAAAAAAAGTTACTTTAGAAAAACCTCACATGCATAATTTAATATATATATATAGTTGTTTTAATACTACAATTGATTGCTTCTGTTGTCCTCATTTGTAAGTCGCTTTGGATAAAAGCGTCTGCTAAATGACTAAATAAAAATAAATACAGATATATTATAGCCTATTATTAACTTCGCGTTGTCCTGAGGAGGTAGGCTATACCTTTAAATCAGTAGTACACCGACAAAATCTATGAAAGTAAGGTTATTTATTACTTCATTTTGCAGTTGTACATGTAAAAAAAACATGATGTGCATATCACAAACAGCCTTCGTGTTTTAATTTTTTTATTATATTTAAGATTAAAGTTTAGCTTGACAGAGCCATGGTTTGCGCTGGAGAGGAAGCTCAACAGATTGCGCCTTGCAGCTTTCAGTCAGAAACTCGATTTAAAGTCATTAAATTATTCGCATATTGCCTATATTGAATATAATATCAACGTTGTAGCTTTGTGTCGTCGCTTACAGTGTAAATGGTGAGATGCTTCCTTCTTTAACACCTCCCACTTTACGATGCCCTTATGAGCGCAGGTGAAACGACACATTAGTGCGATCTGTCTGCCTCAAAGCAAGGATGTTCTACCATGATGTGTGTTTTATAGGCGTTTCTGATAGTTAGAGAGAATTTGCACGCTAATAATCGTTTAATTTTATATCCATGATAATCGCTTCTTATTCAAAAAGTTTGTTTTATATGGAACTGTAAGATGTTATAAATAGCGTAATGACTTTAATGTTATATGCAACTCTCAAAATGTTTATTTTCTAGCGAAATGCTTTTATTCTCAACAAGGCAACAACTAGGTTTTTCCCGGCTTTTGTGGTTATTTATGAGGATGGGAAGGATTATATGATAAAAGCATCCTCGTAGAAATGGGAAAATGGGAGTTGACAATGGTAAGACAATGCATTATTTATTTCTAATGTCTGTTTTTGAATGATAAGCACTTTATAGTTGCGCGTAATGTAAGTGTGTTATGTATTGAGTTGTATGTGTTGAATGCAGTGTGTTGCTGTGGCCCGAATGCTCTTTAAATAGAGTAAGAG